CCTACTGGCCTACTGGCCTACTGGCCTACTCGCCTACTCGCCTACTCGCCTACTCGCCTACTCGCCTACTCGCCTACTGGCCTACTGGCCTACTGGCCTACGGGCCTACTGGCCTACTCGCCTACTCGCCTACTCGCCTACTCGCCTACTGGCCTACTGGCCTACTGGCCTACTGGCCTACTGGCCTACTGGCCTACTGGCCTACTGGCCTACTGGCCTACTGGCCTACTGGCCTACTCGCCTACTCGCCTACTCGCCTACTCGCCTACTCGCCTACTCGCCTACTCGCCTACTCGCCTACTCGCCTACTCGCCTACTCGCCTACTCGCCTACTGGCCTACTGGCCTACTCGCCTACTCGCCTACTCGCCTACTCGCCTACTCGCCTACTCGCCTACTCGCCTACTCGCCTACTCGCCTACTCGCCTACTCGCCTACTCGCCTACTCGCCTACTCGCCTACTCGCCTACTCGCCTACTCGCCTACTCGCCTACTCGCCTACTCGCCTACTCGCCTACTCGCCTACTGGCCTACTGGCCTACTGGCCTACTGGCCTACTGGCCTACTCGCCTACTCGCCTACTTGCCTACTGGCCTACTGGCCTACTGGCCTACTGGCCTACTGGCCTACTGGCCTACTGGCCTACTGGCCTACTGGCCTACTGGCCTACTGGCCTACTGGCCTACTGGCCTACTGGCCTACTCGCCTACTCGCCTACTCGCCTACTCGCCTACTCGCCTACTCGCCTACTGGCCTACTGGCCTACTGGCCTACTGGCCTACTGGCCTACTGGCCTACTGGCCTACTGGCCTACTGGCCTACTCGCCTACTCGCCTACTCGCCTACTCGCCTACTCGCCTACTCGCCTACTCGCCTACTCGCCTACTCGCCTACTGGCCTACTGGCCTACTGGCCTACTCGCCTACTGGCCTACTGGCCTACTGGCCTACTGGCCTACTGGCCTACTGGCCTACTGGCCTACTGGCCTACTGGCCTACTGGCCTACTCGCCTACTCGCCTACTGGCCTACTGGCCTACTGGCCTACTGGCCTACTGGCCTACTGGCCTACTGGCCTACTGGCCTACTGGCCTACAGGCCTACTGGCCTACTGGCCTACTGGCCTACTGGCCTAATGGCCTACTCGCCTACTCGCCTACTCGCCTACTCGCCTACTCGCCTACTCGCCTACTCGCCTACTCGCCTACTCGCCTACTCGCCTACTCGCCTACTCGCCTACTCGCCTACTCGCCTACTGGCCTACTGGCCTACTGGCCTACTCGCCTACTCGCCTACTCGCCTACTCGCCTACTGGCCTACTGGCCTACTCGCCTACTGGCCTACTGGCCTACTGGCCTACTGGCCTACTGGCCTACTGGCCTACTGGCCTACTGGCCTACTCGCCTACTCGCCTACTGGCCTACTCGCCTACTCGCCTACTCGCCTACTCGCCTACTCGCCTACTGGCCTACTGGCCTACTGGCCTACTGGCCTACTCGCCTACTCGCCTACTCGCCTACTCGCCTACTCGCCTACTCGCCTACTGGCCTACTGGCCTACTGGCCTACTGGCCTACTGGCCTACTGGCCTACTGGCCTACTGGCCTACTGGCCTACTCGCCTACTAACCTACTGGCCTACTCGCCTACTCGCCTACTCGCCTACTCGCCTACTCGCCTACTCGCCTACTCGCCTACTCGCCTACTCGCCTACTCGCCTACTCGCCTACTCGCCTACTCGCCTACTCGCCTACTCGCCTACTCGCCTACTCGCCTACTCGCCTACTCGCCTACTCGCCTACTCGCCTACTGGCCTACTGGCCTACTGGCCTACTCGCCTACTGGCCTACTGGCCTACTCGCCTACTGGCCTACTCGCCTACTCGCCTACTCGCCTACTCGCCTACTCGCCTACTCGCCTACTCGCCTACTCGCCTACTCGCCTACTCGCCTACTCGCCTACTGGCCTACTGGCCTACTGGCCTACTGGCCTAATGGCCTACTCGCCTACTCGCCTACTCGCCTACTCGCCTACTCGCCTACTCGCCTACTGGCCTACTCGCCTACTCGCCTACTGGCCTACTGGCCTACTGGCCTACTGGCCTACTGGCCTACTCGCCTACTCGCCTACTCGCCTACTGGCCTACTGGCCTACTGGCCTACTGGCCTACTCGCCTACTCGCCTACTCGCCTACTCGCCTACTCGCCTACTCGCCTACTCGCCTACTCGCCTACTCGCCTACTCGCCTACTCGCCTACTCGCCTACTCGCCTACTGGCCTACTGGCCTACTGGCCTACTGGCCTACTCGCCTACTGGCCTACTCGCCTACTCGCCTACTGGCCTACTCGCCTACTGGCCTACTCGCCTACTCGCCTACTCGCCTACTCGCCTACTCGCCTACTCGCCTACTCGCCTACTCGCCTACTCGCCTACTCGCCTACTCGCCTACTGGCCTACTGGCCTACTCGCCTACTGGCCTACTGGCCTACTGGCCTACTGGCCTACTCGCCTACTCGCCTACTCGCCTACTCGCCTACTCGCCTACTCGCCTACTCGCCTACTCGCCTACTCGCCTACTCGCCTACTGGCCTACTGGCCTACTGGCCTACTGGCCTACTGGCCTACTGGCCTACTCGCCTACTCGCCTACTCGCCTACTCGCCTACTCGCCTACTCGCCTACTCGCCTACTCGCCTACTGGCCTACTGGCCTACTGGCCTACTGGCCTACTGGCCTACTGGCCTACTGGCCTACTCGCCTACTCGCCTACTCGCCTACTCGCCTACTCGCCTACTCGCCTACTCGCCTACTCGCCTACTGGCCTACTGGCCTACTCGCCTACTCGCCTACTCGCCTACCGGCCTACTCGCCTACTCGCCTACTCGCCTACTCGCCTACTCGCCTACTCGCCTACTCGCCTACTCGCCTACCGGCCTACTCGCCTACTCGCCTACTCGCCTACTCGCCTACTGGCCTACTCGCCTACTCGCCTACTCGCCTACTCGCCTACTCGCCTACTCGCCTACTGGCCTACTGGCCTACTGGCCTACTCGCCTACTCGCCTACTCGCCTACTCGCCTACTGGCCTACTGGCCTACTGGCCTACTCGCCTACTGGCCTACTGGCCTACTGGCCTACTGGCCTACTGGCCTACTCGCCTACTGGCCTACTGGCCTACTGGCCTACTGGCCTACTCGCCTACTGGCCTACTCGCCTACTCGCCTACTGGCCTACCGGCCTACGGCCTACTGGCCTACTGGCCTACTGGCCTACTGGCCTACTCGCCTACTCGCCTACTCGCCTACCGGCCTACCGGCCTACCGGCCTACCGGCCTACTGGCCTACTGGCCTACTGGCCTACTGGCCTACTGGCCTACCGGCCTACGGCCTACCGGCCTACTGGCCTACTGGCCTACTGGCCTACTCGCCTACTCGCCTACTCGCCTACCGGCCTACCGGCCTATCGGCCTACTCGCCTACTCGCCTACTCGCCTACTCGCCTACTCGCCTACTCGCCTACTCGCCTACTCGCCTACTCGCCTACTCGCCTACTCGCCTACTCGCCTACTCGCCTACTCGGCCTACTGGCCTACTGGCCTACTCGCCTACTCGCCTACTCGCCTACTCGCCTACTCGCCTACTCGCCTACTCGCCTACTCGCCTACTCGCCTACTCGCCTACTGGCCTACTCGCCTACTCGCCTACTCGCCTACTCGCCTACTCGCCTACTCGCCTACTCGCCTACTGGCCTACTGGCCTACTGGCCTACTGGCCTACTGGCCTACTGGCCTACTGGCCTACTGGCCTACTTGCCTACTGGCCTACTGGCCTACTGGCCTACTGGCCTACTGGCCTACTGGCCTACTGGCCTACTGGCCTACTGGCCTACTGGCCTACTCGCCTACTCGCCTACTCGCCTACTGGCCTACTGGCCTACTGGCCTACTGGCCTACTGGCCTACTCGCCTACTCGCCTACTGGCCTACTGGCCTACTGGCCTACTGGCCTACTCGCCTACTCGCCTACTCGCCTACTGGCCTACTGGCCTACTGGCCTACTGGCCTACTGGCCTACTGGCCTACTACTGGCCTACTGGCCTACTGGCCTACTGGCCTACTGGCCTACTGGCCTACTGGCCTACTGGCCTACTGGCCTACTGGCCTACTGGCCTACTGGCCTACTCGCCTACTCGCCTACTCGCCTACTGGCCTACTGGCCTACTGGCCTACTGGCCTACTCGCCTACTCGCCTACTGGCCTACTGGCCTACTGGCCTACTGGCCTACTCGCCTACTCGCCTACTGGCCTACTGGCCTACTGGCCTACTGGCCTACTCGCCTACTCGCCTACTCGCCTACTCGCCTACTGGCCTACTGGCCTTCAAGTCCGCTATTCACTTGTCCCTTCTTTCTCTTCCCCCCCACAGACCTCCTGCGTTCCCCATGCTACCTGGCTCAGGACGAACTCGTGCGGCTCTTCTACTCCCTAGCTGGTGGCACACTCTGCTTTCCCCCTCTCTTCCCCACGCACATGCCCCTTGCCCTCCCAGCACATGATGCTTTCCCCCTTCCCGTCCCCCCTTTCTTCCCCCCTCTATTTTCCCATCACCAGACCTCCTTTTGAGGCGCCTCAAAAGTGCTTTCCCCCTTCCCGTCCCCCCCTTTCTTTCCCCCTCTATTTTTCCATCACCAGACCTCCTTTTGAGGCGCCTCAAAAGTGCTTTCCCCCTTCCCGTCCCCCCCCTTTCTTTCCCCCTCTATTTTCACATCACCAGACCTCCTTTTGAGGCGCCTCAAAAGTGCTTTCCCCCTTCCCGTCCCCCCCTTTCTTTCCCCCTCTATTTTCCCATCACCAGGCCTCCTCGGTCCCCCCTGCTACCTGGCTCGGGACGTGCTCGTTCGGCTCTTCTACTCCCTCGCGAACGGCACCACGCCCCTCACCCCCTCTCTTCCCCTCTCTCTTTCCCTCTCTCTTCCCCTCTCTCTTTCCCTTTCCTTTAACCCCCAGACCTCCTCGGTTCCCCCTGCTACCTGGCTCGGGACGTGCTCGTTCGGCTCTTCTACTCCCTCGCTGACGGCACCACGCCCTTCCTTATAAGCACATTCGCTATAGCAGCCAACGCAGTCCTGGATTTCCTATTCGTGAGCCGCTGGAAGTTTGGACCCCAGGGGCTGGTGCTCGCTACAGCCGCTGTGAACAGTGCTTCGGCTGTAGCGCTGCTGTGTCTGGCGCACAGGAGAATGGGAGGTGAGTGGACGGTTGGTTGGCTGTGCTCTATGTTTCCCTTCAGGACTTGTGCTGTGCTCGCTACAGCCGCTGTGAACAGTGCTCCGGCTGTAGCGCTGCTGTGGCTGCCGCCCAGGAGAATGGGAGGTGAATGAATCTCTGACTGCTCTGAGTTTTCTACGTCAGCTCATGCTGGCTTAGAGCCTTCTCTCTCTCATCCTCTTACCATCAGCTGCTGCCACTGCTGCCATTGCCACTGTCACTGCCACACACTCACCTGCTTCTGTCCCTCCTCACACCTCTCCCTCCACTCCCCTCCCTCTGCAGGCCTCCCTCTCTCGCTCTGGTGGCCCTCTTTCTCCATCCTCTTCCAATCAGCCGCTGCCACGGCTATCACAGTCACAGTCATGCATAAGCTCCTCTCTGCCGCACTTACAACCGCCTCTCACTTGCTCTCCTTGCAACCCACATGGGTGTGGTTGCTAGATGCGGCAGCACTTGGAACGACAGCTGCTGCAGGATTCCTTGTCTTCTGCGCCCTTGTGGTTACCATGCGGTTACCCGAGGCCATGCCGTTATGGGCTCGAGTGAAGTCGCTTTTGCAAAAGCATGGGTTGCTGAAGCTGAGAACTAGTGCTCAATTTTGATTTGTGTGGAATTGTGTGTAACGCTAGATTGATGAGTACCTAGTGACGAATGTGCTTCTTACACAATTTTCCCTAATGGTTTTTTTTTTTTTTCACTGGTTGAACTGACAACCATGTCATGTTATGGCAGACTTTGGCCAAGTTCAATTCAAACTCCAGACTCTTGTCCCACCATGCACCAGTTTACAAAATCTGCTGAAATCTCTTAGCAGAGCTTACAACGAAACGAATAGCTTCTTGTAATGATACGTGGATGTTTTCGAGCATCTTCCAAATCGTCCTTCCCATCAAATCGATTACAATTGCTGAATCCGAACCATCACGCGCAAAGGTCCTTTTCAGCATCGCGGCTCGGAGAAGAAAAGGACTTCGCGACTCGTCGACTTCCCTCAGGGCGTGTCCAGCGCGTACATTTACAGTTCATAAACCCATTCAGTTACCACATTTCCTATTGTAACACTGCATTTTACAAAAAGGTTGGACACGATCAGCTTCCGTTCACAAGACGGCACGCCCGCTGCGCGTACGACGAATCGTCTAACACACGTTACTGGAATCAGTGTGCGCGCGAACAAGGGTACAGCATTGCGTCCTGCCCGCTACAGTAATTTTCGTTCAAGCGTGGAATTTTCGCTTGTGCGTGAATTTCTGTGCGATGATAGACGAGGCAACCAGTTACCTCGTTTTCCACGAACTGTAGAAATTTGTGTGCAGAGGGTTGTGTCCGCGCGCTGGAAGGCCCAATCCTTCGGACTCGACTCACCTTATATTCGTTTTTTGGTACAGTGAGATTTTTTGAGCCGGGAAACGTGTGAAGGTACTAATATTCCCAAAATGTACGCGCTGGACACGCCCTCAATGCACAACCAGGCGCAAACGGTTGAGCACACGCAAATCACTCGCAACAATCACATGGCTATCGGAGAGAGATCTCGCCTCGACTCAGACCCCCACGTTTCAGCAACAGCACCGCCATTACAAAAACCGCTGTGACTCTTACACTTCTAGGCCGATCCAGCCCACAGGTGGCTGACCTACAGAACATGCCCTGCTACACTCACACCTACATCCTTGAATGGTCGTCTAAAACAAAGAGTAGGAGAGACCTGCTGCTAACAGACATACCTTCCAGCAGCACTATTTCAGGCCCAACGGCACATTCAACGGAAAACGACGCCGGCCGCCATTCGTCGTTACTGTAATTAGGTCTCTTTGTACGGACCCTCTCTCCTCTCCTGCTAATGGCAGATCCAGCTGGCAGATCTGTTTTGCGGGATCCTCACGCGCAAAGAGACTCTCTGTCCTTTCCGTCCTCATCCGAAGAGACGAGTTAATGATTACCTACAGCCCTGCCTCGCGAAGTTTTAGTACGCGCACCGAAACGCCTATTCTCTCCCTCAACGGAGGTTTTTTGCAGCAAGACCACACGCCACGCTAACGCAGTCACGTGTAGTACAATGCGCGGGACGACGTTCCTCCATAAGTGCGGGATGACGCGAACCATTTCTCATTCGCCTTGTTTAACCAACCAGTTCTCGCTCTACTAGCGTCATCACCGTCGCCGTCACGTGTGGCGTCACGTCTTGAGGCGCTGCGTAACCATAAGTACTATCAGCAACGTCGTCACGTCTTAAAAGCTTACGATAGCTTTACTGTACTCTTTGGGGCCTTTGTGAGTCGTCAACGCGCCGCGCGCCATCATGCTGACCGACGCCGATCCCGCCATCGTCGTACTTCCGGACGGCACCATCCGCCTAATCACGCCGCATCTCGCGGCGGCAACGGAAGATTTGCCGCCGCCGCCGCCGCCGCCGGCCGACTACCAACCCTGTTCGATGGAAGGCGGCACGCCCGCCAGGGGAAGGAGCGACGGGCTCAGGCTGAGCCCCCCGCCAACTCCGCGTGCGGAAACACGGTGCGGGGAGCCGGCGGAAGCGGACTATGAAGACGCGCGCGCGCATACCCACTGGGCGCAAACCTACCCCCGCTGCGCGTCGCTGCAGTCTCCGCGGACTCCCGGTATCTTGACCGCGGGCGACGTTCTCCGCGATTTCCCCCGCCATTACCTCGCGCTCTCCCCCGCCGCCCCTCCGCCGGGGAGTCCCCTCAGGCGCGGAGTCTCCGCAGACATCTCCCCGGATGAACACATTCCGCTTCCCGCCTGGCGCCCGCTGATTCCCGGCGCGACCTATCAGGTCGTTCCGCAGACGTTGCGCCAAGCGGGGCAAGGCTGCTCGTCGCGCTCGCTGCTGCGCACGTTCGCGTCGTGCCCCGAAAGATTTGACTCCGCGACTCACGGCGACGGGAACGGCAGAGGGGTCGTTTCCGTCGCCGAAAAGAAGCCCGTTCCGCACGCGCTGCGCAAAGGGACAGTCTCGTCGCGCTCGCTGCTGCGCACGTTCGCGTCGTGCCCCGAAAGATTTGACTCCGCGATCCTCGGCGACGAGAGCAGCAGAGTGGCCGTTTTCGTCGCCGAAAATAAGCCAGTTTCTGGGAGAGCGTTAAGTACCACTATCGGCACTGCGTCATCAGCGGTATGCCCGACATCCAGCGGTGGTTTCGGCGACGGCCGCGCTGAATCCCCCGGAAATAATACCTACTCCCAGAGCTGTACGCGATACAAGCTCCATCACGGAAATCGTCCTCGCAACTGGTCGCAAGGGAACACGATAAGCCGTTCCGTTAGCTACTCCGGTCCGCACGCGACGGACGTGACGCCAATCTCCTACACAACGTGTGAATCGCCTTCGGGATTACGGGAGAGAGGAACCCCAGTAGTACCAGCAGCCGTTGGCGTGAACAACGGAGTCGGTTCGCGCGCCACGGGCGATGCACCATCCCCGTTATTATTGGCATCGTCATCATTGTCATATCCGCCCTCTACATCTGCTAGCTCGAGCTCTAGAAGGCTTCTGCGGAAAGTGAATCTTTTTGCTTTATGCAAGTGGTTTTACAGAAGCAGCTGCAGCGGCAACGACGGCAGTGGCGACTGTTGTGAAGTCAGGGAAAACAACGTTCTCAAGTGGGATGAGGGCTCAAATGCTCTAAATATTCCTTTTGAGTCGGCTATAAACGGGTACAGCTTTAGCAACGTCATCAGCAGCAGCAAGACCGCCCACACCGTCAGCAGATGCAGCACAGGCAGCAGCTTCGACAACAACACGCCCAGAAGCGCCAGCTGTAGCGCCAGCAGCACCGCGAATGGGGATCGCGTTGGGAATACCGGAAGGAATATGAGAAGAAACACACACCCGCAGCCTGACTCCGGCATAATGAGATCTTCGAACCTTGTCATGGAGGACCCGTTTTATCCTATGGAGCTTTGCTTTACCGCGGATGCTTGTATGGAGGACATGCGCCGTGCAGCATCAATGCTAGAGCTCGCTCTACAGAGGAATGAAGAGCATAGAGTGTAGACAGGCTCTGCTTATCTTCAATCGGGTTTCTTCTGCAAGGGAATGTAGTAGAGTGCTATGGTCCTCAATGCTGGAGCTGCTAAAGACTCCCCAACCCCGAGTTTCGTTTTTATGCCACCCTTATAAATCAGCAGTGCTGAATGTACCTTCTTTCTGCCACTAGTATCTTGTGGCATGTAACTACTGCAATTATGCAACATGAATTGATCTGGAATGCTGTGTTCCATCTCACAGCTTGCAGGAGAACAGGGGCGGGATGTAAGAGAGGAGTTATCAGAGGAATAATAGAACACTAAGAAGTCAGAGGCCTCTACACCAGCACATGCCTGTTATGCTTGACATCTGAAGTCTTGTATTGTAGAGAACTGCCTGCATTCGAATCGACTAAAAACAAAGCACATCCCTGCACTGCTGTAGCAGTAGCCTATCACATCACCCCAAGAGTAGTACAGCCAGAGTAGGTAGTAGGTACCATGCTCATTGTAAGTGATAACGACTTATCTACACCACACCACACTGTAGCTCACAGCCTATGATTGGCCTATTGACTTGGAAGTTGCCTTTCCACGACAAAGCTGTTTCCCTTGTCGTCTCGCCCGATTCGCACAGTGTCATCCACGTAGCTGTGTGACAATAAAGGGGGTTGCGCACAGAGCAATAGAGAGCAATGCACGAAATGCATTAATATGGTGTGCAATGGTGAGGCGTCCCTGGCCAGTTCTGAGTGGACCCAAAACCCGTCCATGATCACATGTACATATAGCACATGCAGGTGTGGAGCAGACTATTCGACATGTTCCAGGGAGCAGCAGTACAGAAAGTTTAGCAAAGGGGGAAACAGTTGTAGTAGAATCACAATCACGTGTACATGTAGCACATACACGTGTGGAGAAAAAAAAGGAAAGAAAAAAAAAATCGTGCAACCACTCCAATTTAACCAACCAGCACAGGTGTATCAAAGTTCTTATACTCTCACACGTCAAGCATGTGTATGTGTATGCATGTGTGTGTGTATGCATGTGAGTGAAATTTGAGAATTCTCAAAAATCACTCACAAGGACTACAACTCCCAAGATTCGTAATTGGTTGGAG